GTTCCTATTGAGAGCTAGCTCAGTAAGTGGAGTGCATAATTTTTCATTCAAAAGGGCATGATTCAATTTTCTGCATTGTATGATACCCTGAGAACCATTTTGAGTAACTCCTAAGCACAAAGCGTGGAACAGCCACTGAGCACTTCCACTGTGACTCAAAAATAGAAGCTAGATGATAAAATGGTCACTTAAAAAGCTGTGGGAAAAATGCCATTCTTCAAGAGTAAAATGACAACATACAGATAAAAATGGTAGAAAATATTTTTCCATCAGCATTTGACAAACGGTTAATAGTTAACCTATATAAAGCACTGGTGAAATTTAACAAAACCAACCAAACCTATCAAAAAGTGGAGAGAAGAGATGAAGAGAAACTTCCTCAAATAAGTCAAATAAGTCACACAATGGTAAGAAAAACACTATTTCACTAATCATCTTAAAATATAAGTTAGAAAACTATGAGAAAAAGGGGATCAGAAAGATAGTATAATGTATAGGAGCTTGTCTTGCATGTGACCCACCCAGATTCAATTCCCAGCAACCCTTATGGTCTTCAAGACTTGCCAGGAGTGATCCCTGCACAGATAGTCAGGAGCAATCCCTTAGCAACACTGGCTGTGGCCCAAACTCAAAAAGACAAAAACAAAACAAAACTATGAGATATCACCTCACATCACTGAGAATGGAATGATTAAAAAAGAATGGAAACAAGCAGTACTGTCATGGATTGGGGATAAAAGAAAACCTTCTACACTGCTGGTGGGAATGTTGACTGTTTCAAACATTTTGTAAAATAATTTGGACACTTCTCAAAAAGCTAAAAATTATACTTACATATGACCAGGTTGCTCATTTTGGGGCATCTGTTCCAAGGGCCCAAGAACTCTATTTAGAAAAGACAGTTTTACTCCTCTGTTTATTGCAACTTATGCAAACTGCAAACAACCCAATTGTCTGAGAACAGATGATTGGATAAAGAAGCTGGTATCTATACACACCGGAATGCTACTTGGCCATAACAGAAGCCAACAGCATGCAATTTGCTATTATGTGTATGAAAGTGGAGGGTTTAATACTGAGTAAAGTCAGCAATGAGAGAGAGACATACATGGTACTTAAAGATACACAGTGAGGCAGCAAAAAAGATTAAAGGGCAACGTAAAGGCAGAACTGACATACACAATTGAATTGGAGGACAGGTGAGAGGGAGGGAGAGGAGAGGTACTCTGGTAGTGGATGTGGTGTCGGAACAATGTCTATGAAAAACCTTTATTTATAGTATTGTAAGCCAAAAAATAGGACTTAAATAGATACGAAATGATCTGTCTCCTATGAGGGATATAAAGTGCAGTAAGGGAATAAGAAGTCACCCAAAACGACAGAACCTAAGAAGTGATCTATGAAATGGAGATTACCATGTTGTTGGGACCTGAAGGGTAGAGAAGAGGGTGTGAAGATGGAAGGGGAATCTGAATGGGGAGGGTCCAGGAACAATGCTTGAGGGAAAGATCCTGTTGGGGGTGCACTGCCGGAATTTTGTGTGCAAATAACTCTACATGGATAGTATTGTCAAAGTGTTTTTTTCTTTTTTTTTGGGGGGGTCACACCTGGCTGTGCACAGGGCTTGCTCCTGGCTCTACACTCAGGAATTACTCCTGGCGATGCTCAGGGGACCATATGAGATGCTGGGAATTGAACCCGGGTTGGCCGCGTGCAAGGCAAACGCCCAACCCACTGTGCTATTGCTCCAGCCCCGTCAAAGTGTTTTTGACAGTATTTACAGAGTGACTTACATAACTAAATAAAATAACATTTTTTGTTTATACTTATTTATACCATGATAATTTACTTATGGGTTTATCATTTAATTATGCTATTGTTGAAAAATATATTGTCCATTTCAGAATAGTCACTGAATTTCATTGTTAGAGTATTAAAATAATCAATTAAAGTTATTTTTACCTTGCATAAAAATAAAATTTCCACTTGAGTAGAAATGTTCTTGCTTCTATCATATCTTATATAATATTATCCTATACATTATTTCGTCTTTTTTATCATGGCCTTATTTAAGAGAGGAAAACACTTAGAAGGGGACCAATGCTAACAGCACAAAGACTTAGAAAAACAAACATTAAAATTAAGGAATAGATGTCTATTAATTGGAAATAATTTATTGTCTCTATAAAAGCTTAAATAAAAACCCTATAAAAGTACACATTACAGTCTGATGTGGTTTTAGGATGATAGCATGTTTCAGAGGTAGTACCAGTAAAATGGGATACAAAATTGCTAAGAGGAATAATTCAATAAATTAATGCAAAATAAAATTTCAGTGTGCAGCAACATATAGTCAGTGTACATTTAATGGAAATAATAAGTATATTTTCATGAAAAATAACACTGTTCTCTTTTTTCCCTTAACAAATTTAATAAAGATGTATTTGAGAAATGGTGCTTACTGTATGTTCACAAGTTAGTATACCCTCCCTTATAACATTATAGAAAATTTCTGGCTAAGATTGCTGCTATATAGCACTATATAGTGCTGTCTGCTTAGGATAATACCAATTTTAAAAACAAACACATTTATTCATTTGTTAGACACAGTGGTACTGATAACTCCCTTAAAATGATAATTGTGAGAATTTTCCATTTAAAAATTTGAATAAAAATCTCATTCACACAATATTTCTAGTATACAATTACAGCATTTTTTAGAAAATACAGGACTAAATTTTCAGAATTTCTCTTTAAGGTGATCACAAGTTGTGAGCCTAAGATGAGGAAACTTTCTTGGAAATGGGTTGAAGTTTTCTCCTATGCCTCAAAAATAAATAAATCATGGAGTCTAGGATACTTCTTAGTATCACTTCTGTTTTCTCTTACAAAGTTACAGACTGCTAACTATAAATGTGACTTAAAATTGATGTAGCCGTCATTGTACAGTTAATTACTTGGACATCTTTTGAGGTCTTGTTAATATACAGTTTACAGGCTATGTAGAGATGCAGATTTTTCTTCTCCAAAAACAACATTTATATGACATGATTGAAATAGCAGTACAAAAGAATGCTGTTTATAACACTATAACAAAATATCCCCAGGTTCCAAAGAGGCCAGTTATCTTTGAAAATTTGCTTTGCATTTACAGACATTTCTGTTCCGCAGTGTAACTGCAGTTCACATTCTCTTGTGACAAACATTATTTTGGCAATATGACAACTCTGCTTTTTTTAAAGCATTTTTGGAAGGTAGGGGCTCTTAAATACTTTAGAAACTGTGAACAGCAAGCAAAAACCTGAAATCAGGCATAAAAACACAGTTAAAAAGAAAATAAAGGTTTTTTTTTAAATATTTCTGTCTGTCTTTGTGAGAGATGCTTCAGATAGAAGAGTTTTTTCAATATTGTGTGTAAAATCTTCAAATAAAACTACCTGTTTTTCTCTCTCGAGTCATGAAGATGCTCATAAAAACAGTAAGTACTGGTAGAAATTTTCCTACAATAAAATGCCCTAAGGCCAGTTCCAATCCATATGTGAAAAAATACTTCCTTCATTATAAACTTTTAATACATGACTTTGGAATACTTTTAGAAATATGAAGTATGTGATTTAATTTTGCCAGTTATTTTTTTCAGGATATAGTTATTTTCTTTGGTTCCTGCTACAGAACAACCACATTTCATTTTGTAAGTGTATTAAATCCAATGATACCAAAAGAGATACTTCCAGTACTAAAACACAAAATACCTAGACAAAGTGATTAATTATATTATTTTCACTTTTAGTGTCTATCAGAGACTAATATTCATTCTGGGAATCACACCTAGCCGACTCCTTAAATCTGGTAAAATTTTCTACATAAATCATCTAAGTAAAACATTGGACATTGAAAAAAATAGCTTGTCATGAAGTTTATGGCTTGCTAATGAGTAGAAAGTCTATAGCCTTATAGCAACAGCATATTTGTGGAGTAAATATTGGGGGGATATACAATTAATGGAGTTGAAAGATATAGGAGAGAATCATTTATTCATAAAAGAAACAAAATTTCAATTTTGATACCCGGCACCACAGGTCCCCCAGGAGTGAACCCTGAGTACATCTGAGTGTGGACCAAATGTATCCCTACTAGAAACAAATAAAAGATTTAAATTAAGACAGAAGCCAATAAAATTTGAATACATAGTTTCAACAACATAGGAGACTTGAAGGCTTATCATGTATGTAATTTTAAGAAAAAAATTCTGTGTTTGTTGTATATAGCATAGACAGTTTGTGTTTTTGGGGAGATGATAGCTCTGAAAAATTATACCTAATATCCAAGGTTCATTACTCGGCACTATTTTCTCTGAATGGAATTTGACTTGTCAGTAAGGAGTATTAAACATCATTTGAAAAGAACCATATGATTCTCAGCTAGAAGAAAGCATACTTAAACGCTTAAATATTTCTACTAACAAAAGAACCATAACAGTAGTATGTCAGCAATATCAAATTGAATAACTGACACATTAATTAATCATATCTAGTATTATAAGAGGAGAGATATTAAAATTGTGAATTTTTTGCATTCAAAAGTTGATATCTGTGACTTTCAAGATGAAAATTGTTTTTACTTACCAACAACAAAAATATCTGACATAGAAACTAGATGGGCAAAAACATCATCATTTGCTTCATTAATTTTTCAGGTATTGATAGTAACTTAAACTTCTTAAACAATTTCACATTGCTAAGTCACAATGTATGACAATGTGAACTCAGGAAGTAATTGGAACTTTCCTTTCTATGTATGAGTCCAGGTAATGACATGTGCCCTGGAAGAGAAGGTCTATAAGGAAATTTTTACAGTGCACTGTATCTGGTACAGTAATAGAAAAACTGAGGGATATGCTTATTTTAAGAATGTACTCAAAGGATTGTATAAAATCTTTGAATTGAAATTGAAAAAATTTTAAATATATTACCCAAGGTTGGTAGTTTTCTATAAGTCTCACATGAAAATGAGGCAAATTTTGGGGGTAAATTAGAATGACTAAATTAAAAGATCTCAGTGGTTTGCCTTGACTTGTTGTTTCTTAAATAGGAATTGAAAAATATTATGAAGATAGAGATAAACTCATGATATTTGATTATTTATCTAATTTACTCATATAAATTTACTATCAGTAAATGTCATTTGCAGCAATGAAGACTTTCCATTAGACTAATCTTTTACATTTTGTTGTTGTACATTTCAGGTTTTTATTTCATGTCTGTGAATTACTTTTTTCATTGTGTTTTCTTCTCACTCCAAATATTTGGATAAGATAAAGAAGACAATAAAAATTACAATTACAGTGTAATAATCATTTCAAGTTTCAGTAACCAAGTTAAATAATTTTTTTAGTTTCATATAATTTGAAAAATAGCCTCTAGATCATCTAGGTTGTCATTTTTTAAAGTTTTGTTTTGAATTTTAAGTTAACTTTCCTGAGTATATGTTGATAATATGAAAAGGAGAGAGGAGGAAAGAAGATGTAATGGCTACCAAAACAATCAAGATCAATAACTTATTAAACAATGTTGAAATATTTTTATTTTTGTGTTGCTGGTCAAAATTTTTGCTAAAACTAAGATTCTTATATAAAACCAAAACAAAAATCTTTAGAAATTAGACATGCATTTCATAGATAAATGGCTCAAAATTAAGTTCATTTTGACAGTGTTACATCAGCTTAGCAAAACTCTCAAACAAAGATTTTATATATCTCAAATACATTTTTTTTGCTCTGTAGCCATTATATCTTGTCCATCATTTACACATTTCTTGTTTTGACAATACATTTGTTTTTCAACTGGAGAATTTTAGGGCAACAGAATTCAGTTATCTTGAGATGCATGTCTGTTAGGCAAGCAATAGACTTTACACATATCACCCTCACCCCTCAAGTCACAAGCTGCCTGAGGCATTTTTCTCTGATAAAGAAGACACAGTGAATGAGGTATCATCAGGCTCCAGTGAAGCATGATCGAAATCCAACTCTTCTAATTCAGGAGGTAAATCTGATAGCAGTGCCTGAGTCAGAAAAAAAAATCATTTTTGGATTATTATACTAAGATTTATTTAATTTTATGTTAATAGTCATGAAAATTTCATATTGGTTTCTTCTTATAAATTAAATAAAAATTCTCTATTAGGATATCAAACAGTATCTTACCTTAAAGAAATATTCTTCATACGCTATTATGTAATTGGTTACTAGATGTTGATATATAAATTGTACAGGATAGTTAGAAGTGAAATAAATCATTATTTTAAATAAATGTTTTTAGTGTTCAATGCAAATAATTTTCATACTAATTTTGAGGATGCAATAATCATTGATAAACATTGATAAGTGCTTTAAGATTAAATTATCTATTAAAATTGTCCTGTATGTTTATGCTCTCCTTTGGAGAAAGACAATCTAAAATTATTTTATTAGGAAAGTATTTCACCTATTTTACCTTAACAACTTTAAAAGGCAAACTATTTTTACGTAAGTTATATCCATATATAGAGATGCCTAAGATCTGCCAGAGGAGTTTAACCAGTTTAATCTAGTTATGTAATCATGTATCTAAAAGGATGTTCATTTATATTAATTAAGATAAGCTATGGTCCATGAACTAAGCTTTGTTATGTTGTAATACTTTCATTAGTAGTTGCAGAATATTTGTCTATACAGGAGATGTAAATGATTAATCAGTTTTAGATCAATTGATCTTTAATAAAAAAACAAAAACTATGAAGCGGAGCAAGTAAAGCCTATTCAACAAGTGAGTTTAGAAAAACTTGTCACTTATATGCAAAAAATAAACTCAGACCTTTTTCTAAAGCCATTAACAAAAGTTGAATCAAAATAGATTAACAACCTTGATTAATTAAAATTTATGTGGATCGATGCCAAGTTGACCACAAGAAATAATTAAAGTACTAATGTATTACTATAATATTAAAACTAATATAATTTTTGGGCAAATTTAGAATCATTTGTAACATTTACTTAGGGTGCAGGGGTAAACAATAGTCAAAGGAAAATTAACAAATTAAGTCAGCCATCACCCAATAAAGAAACAGAAAGATAGGGTGATTGGACAACATATAAAATAAGGTCTTAAAATGAAAGTATTATCCTATCTCTCAAATGTGAAATCTATAAATATATAAATATTGCACTATTTACTTTTGCTGTAACTGAGACTATTTGTAAGTTACCTAAAGGCCTTACATAATTTCTAAGGTTCTAGATTGCATTAATAAGTAGACAGTTTCTTCTTGGCTGTGGATTACTGATAAATCTAAGTGAAACAAAGTAATTGCTGGCATTGACAATAATAGTCTATAATAAATAAATCACTAGATATAGTTCAGTTTGCAATTCGAAGAAGACAAATTAAAAACCCAATGTTTCAGCTCAGATAGAGAAGGGCACACCAAGTAAAGGGTGTCTGGAGGATTCACTTGGGATGTGAGATGCGTGCTGAAAGTACACTATAGACCAAACACTACGGACATTCAATACCTCTATTGCAAATCACAACACCCTAAAGGAAAGAGAGAGCACAAGGGAATGCCCTGCCACAGAGGGAGGGTGCGGTGGATGTGGTGGGTGGGTGGTAGGGCTACTGGAATCATTGGTGGTGCAGAATAGGCACTGGTGGAGGGATGGGTACTCCATCATTGTATAACTGAAACCCAAGCACGAAAGTTTGTAAGTCTACAACTGTACTTCATGGTGTTTCACTAAAAATAAAATAAAATAAAATTTAAAAAAAAGCCAAAGTTCTCCAATTAACAGAGACTAAAAATGTGCTTAGAGTCTTGGAAAATGAAGTAAATAATAATCTATGAAATTATAGATTCTAATGAAGAAATCTTTGAATCAGAAAGGAACTATTATCTATGTATTTATCTTAGCGTTACATGCATTTGAATGACTAAAATGATTTTAACACTAAATAGAAAAACTTTAATATCTGATCTAAACACTACTGGTGCTTGAAGGTAATTTATGATATATTTTTTCAGTATCCTACTGATTTGTACCGTTGTTACACTAATCAAATCTTTGGATTTTTTCATTTACTATAAACACCTTTCTCATTGAAACCAAAGGAATTATAATTAACTTTTTACTACAGGTTTTTTCTATTACTTTATCGCCATACTTGTGTCACACTTCCCAAGAGATTAAAAACAATTGCAGGGCCTGGAAAGATAGTACAGTGAGTTGAATGTTTGCCTTGTACACAGCCAAACTGGGTTTGGTCCCTCGCACCACATATGGTCCCCTGAATCCTGCCAGGGGTGATTCTTGAGCGCAGAACCAAGAGCACCACTAGTTGTGGCTTCAAAACAAAACAAAATAAAATAAAAACCTCTAAAATATATCCTCAATCTGTCTGTAAGACTTATTCTAGGCTCGGCAGCACAAGCTGGGGGAAAAGGCAGCTCAGATAGAGAAGGGAATACAAAGTAAAGGATGTTTGGAGGATTTGCTCAGGATGCGAGATGCATGCTGAAAGTAGACTATAAACTGAACATGATGGCCACTCAATAACTCTATTGCAAACTACAACACCCTAAAGGAAAGAGTGAGCAAAAGGGAATGTCCTGCCACAGAGGCGGGGTGGGGTGGGAGGATGGGTTATGGGGGAGGGCTACTGGGATCATTGGTAGTGGAGAATGGGCACTGGTGGAGGGATGGGTACTCCATCATTGTATAACTGAAACCCAAGCACGAAAGTTTGTAAGTCTACAACTGTACCTCATGGTGTTTCACTAAAAAAAATAAAAATAAACAATAAGAAAAGACTTATTCTAGGCTCTAGAATGAGAATGCCAAGTTTCTTAATGATAATTATTCATATCTATTTGCAAAGCAGAGAAATTAAAAACCAATAAAATAACTGACCTCACAAAGGCCGCATAATGAATTATTAGGCGAGGAAAGACCAAATCAAATGACTTAGTATAATTGTGACAATACAATTTATATTTTGAAATTATTGATGAAATATAACATTTGGGTAATCTAATATTTCAATTAGACACTATCATGTATTTTTAATGTCTAGACTGCTTTATTGAGGGAATATATTCTGTAGACTAATCACCTTATTTAATTTATTCAAATAAAGATTAATAGAAGACAGTATTTAAAAAATAGAAACCAATGACAGAAGTTTACTGTTCTGATATGTAGAATAAATATTGATTCTGTATAAACCTTGAAATATTTCATAATGCAATGGTCAGTTATTGGAGAAAGCTCCTGAGTTACACTTGTGAACTGCTTTCGGTATGTTTACAGAAAATATTTTAGTTCCAGTATACTTGATCACCTATGAAAAAAAGTGGTTCTATTTTAGTTCTGCTTACGTAAATTCTGACTTTGATCATAGTTTTTATAATAACTTTTCTTTCCTTTCAGTGTTTTTCACTTATCTTAATCCATCTTTTAATAAAGTAAAATGGGAGAAAAACAAAATTCACAGTAATGAAGTGCTAGACAAACTCTCTGACAAGGAATTTAGAAGGGAGCTACTGAGGTTTCTTAGGGAGCTAAAAGAATACAATGTAAAACAATGCCAATAAAAATACAAGAGGATTTGAAGACAGAAATGAGGAAAATGCAAATAAAATAAAAAACGGAAATGTTGGACCTGAAAAACCTGATAGGCAAATTGAAAAACTCAGTGGAAGCCTTCAGCAGCAAAGTAACAGCTGCTGAGGACAGAATCAGTGAGCTCGAAGATGAAGTCTAGAGATTCTCCAGAAAAGAGCAGAAAATGGAAAAGAAAATAAACAAGATAGATAAGCCTCTAGCAAAACTCACAAAGAAGGGGACAGAAAACCCTAATAATCCGAATCAGAAATAAAAAGGAGGTCATTACAATAGCAACTACAGAAATTCAAAGGATCCTCAAGGAGTACTTGGAGTACTTCGAGAAGCTTTATGCTACGGAACAAGAACAGCTCGAGGAAATTGATAAATTCCTAGATTCCTATAGCCTCCCAAGGCTGAACCAAGAAGAACTGGAATACTTGAAAGGACCTATCACCATCAAGTAAATTGAAACTGTAATAAAAAGTCTCCCCAAGCACAAAAGTCCTGGCCCAGATGGATTCACTAGTGAATTCTTTCAAATCTTTAAAGAGGATTTACTCCCAATCCTCTTTAAGCTTTTCCACGAAATTGAAGCATCAAAAACACTTCCGAACAGTTTCTATGAAGCAAATATCACCCTGATACCAAAAGCAGACAGAAATACCATAAAGAAAGAGAATTACAGGCCAATATTCCTGATAAACAGCACATGGCAAGGCTGAAGGAGACAAGACTACCCAGGGAAAGGTCTGGGGGGAAGTGTGTGCGGATGTGGGAGTGCATGTGTGTGTGGGCTTGAGCAATAGCACAGCGGTAGGGCTTTTGCCTTGCACGCAGCCAACATGGCCGACCCGAGTTCAATTCCTCCGCACCTCTCGGAGAGCCCGGCAAGTTACCAAGAGTATCTCGCCTGCACGGCAGAGCCTGGCAAGCTCCCCGTGATGTATTCGATATGCCAAACACAGTAACAACCAAGTCTCCAATGGAGACGTTACTGGGTCCGCTCGAGCAAATCTATGATCAATGGGAGGGCCTTTATTCCTGATAAACACAGACGCAACAGTCCTTAACAAACTATTAGCAAATAGAATCCAACGACTCTTCAAAAAGATCATACACAATGACTAAGTAGGATTCATCTCAGAGATGCAAGGATGGTTTAGCATTTGGAAATTGATCAACATAATCCATCATATCAACAAAAGATAAAAACCACATGATCATATCAATAGACACATAGAAAGCTTTTGACAAGATCCAGCACCCGTTTATGATGAAAACTCTCAGCAAAATAGGCATAGAAGGAACTTTCCTCAATATAGTCAAAGCCATCTACCACAAGCCCACGGCAAGTATCATTATCAATGGCAAAAAACTAATAGCCTTCCTTCTAAGATTGGACACAAGACAAGGTTGCCCACTT